CACTCTCTCTGCCAGATTTAAAAAGGGCTGTCCATTTTTTCACAGTGGTGTACGAAGGAGCAGACTCTCCCAAAACTTCATCCATGTCAGCTTTGATTTGAGATGCGATCAACCCTTTTTTCGTCAGGTATTTTATGACCGCACGATTCTCCATCTTCTCCATTTTTGACAAAGCATGTGCACATTGACTATCTGCTAAGCTGTCGTGGCAAAACTTTATGACAAATCAAGCGGAAATTGGTATCGTATCTTTAGCAAGGATGACTGAATTATTCCCGCCAAAAATTAAATTGATCGCAGCGCCGCATATAGGCAAGGCCGCGAACTTTTCGAACAGCCCTCGTAGTTAATGTTATGCTGAAAAATTCTGTTTTATTTAGGTTACCAAATGGTTTCATTTGCATAAGTTTTACTTTTTATGTTACAAAACAAACATTTACAAAGTTTGTATTAATACAGACTATTCTGCAATGAAATTAAAATTAAGTTTCACACAAAATGAAATTACATAGAACTAACAATCACAAAAATTATTCCTAGATATAAGAAATGATTCACCCAATTTCATTTTAAGTATAGTCTCTCTAATTACTGAACTATACACAATATTTGAAAATAGAGAATTTGATATAGATTAGGTTATATAGATTAGATTATTTTATTTTATAGATTAGGTACTTTATTTTTAATAAAGTAAGTCAATGGTATTCAATTAAATTGTATTTATTCTGAGAAAATTTGTAAACAAGCACAACTTTTTCTCTCTTACAATTAAGAATGAACTTTATTGACAAATATATTCACATTATTAACTTTGCCACATGATATCTGATAGACCTGTAATTTATTATTATATCATCTCAACTTATGCAACACAGCCAATTTTTCCCACTAATGTCTTCTAATAATGATAAATGTTTCCAATATTTTCTGTTAATATCATTCTAAATCATTTTAATAAAATATATAATTTTTTTTTATATTGTAAGTCTATTAGACACCACATGGATACTTATGTTACAATGTCAGTATTTTTTCCAATTATGCAATATTTTTTATAATAATTTTAATTAATTAATTCAATTATTAAAAATAAAACTTTATAAGCTATCAATTGAAAAAGACACAATAAATTTTAAAAATACTATCACATAATAACGCTTTATCTATGAGCATTTAAAAAACTATACTATTACTGTAAATGTCTATGGTGTATGGTTTTCCAGCACCCTTTGAAAAGTAGCCAATAATAATATGGCATGCTAGTATTCTGCAAATTAAAATTTGTACACATGGCATGATAAAGATTCTGAGCAGAAATCAGACAATGGTGGGTATATGGTTATCATGTTGCTTTGAAAACAATCTTTAATATCTATACGGCAGTAATTATTTGCATAAACAATGAATGCACTAAATGGTTTCTGGAATGGCAAATTCTCTAATATTTTGAGAGAATAGTTTATTTCAAAATTTAAGTTCAATAACAGAATTCTTATTAGAATTTACATTATTTCAGATTGGTTTCTCATTTAATTTTTTCTTTAAAAATTTCAGGTTTTAAAGAAACATCTACCATTTAATATTTAAAATTAATCAACTTACTTTCAATTTTACACCTGCTATAAAAAGTTCATTTCTAACATCATCACAAGCTTTCATAAGAGGTTCTCTTTCCATACGCTGAAGTTGTATTTGTTCTGATGGAGTTAATTTTTTTATTGTCCATACTGTATCGCCTTTGTCATCTGGTGGTTCTGATGGTGGCACTGGCAGTGGTTGTTCAGTATCTGTTATTTCTTTACCTATAAAATAAATATTTTTAAGCTTATTTTATCTGCATATTACAAGACAATCAGTTATTTGAACATTGAATTTTTAATACTGCTCTAAAATTTTAAAAAATGTTAAATTTAAAAATTTAAAATTAAAAAAAAATTTTTTTTAAATGTTAAAAAATTTATAAAAATATACTCTCTTGTATTATAGAATCAGTATAAAAAAATTCAGAAAAGTTTCATATCTGAAATCAATTTGTCTGACTAAACAAGACCAAATTCAAAATATCCTAAACTAGTATAAACATTCAGCATTGCTGGGGATGTGTAATGTAGATGTGTAATGAGGTAAACTTTTGTTATGGTTAGATAATGGCATGTTGATATATTCTGTATAAACATATCTAGTAATAGCATAAGAAACCTTATTGAATGGCTAGATATAAATGATATTTCCTAAAAATTTCAACAGAAAATAAACCCAAATTCATGGAAAGGATGATCTTTTAGTCAAAAGCAGAGCTGAAAAGGATTGGGTCATTTAATCCAATTCTAGTACAAAAATATAGTCTGTGTAATTTGCTTAACTTTTGTAAATTGCATATTGATGAACAAGATTTTGTTTTAAAGTAGTAACTGCTTATTGTGATCACTGGTTAATGTTATCAGCCACTTAATATAATCAAAACCCATTTTCCCAAACCAGTTGTTTCCTGTATAGAGTGGTATCTTGAACAACTCTAACTTTGAATGCTTAGAGTTCAAACACTTAAATTTGACATAAATTCATTTCAAAGTTCAAACTGTATTTGCATTGAAAAAATGTGCTCAATGCATAAATACAATCTGTTGTGCACCCAGTCATCTCTCACTCCTGTTATTTTTTACATTCTTATGTTTTCAGTGCTTTTTTTGCTTTATTTTTGGTGTTTGGTTATATATAATTTTGTGCTATTCATTGATTTTTAACAATTTTTCTCTGAAATTTCTTTGTCAACAGTTTTTGGGCACCCTGTATGTTTTATATCCTTTGGTTCAAAATTTCCTGGACAGAACTTTTACACCACATTTGACATATTTGAAGTTTAAAAACATCATCCCCATATACATTAGGAATTTTTTTTTTATCATTTGTCTGGTATTATGTCCTTTTTGAAACTCTTAAAGCATAATATACCTGATATGCTTTTATCTGAAGACATTTCAACTTAATTAATTCAAACACAATGAGAAGTAAAAAGTTTAAAATAAGCTTCTAAACAATGAATACTATCTCACATTTATAATAATGTGTTAAATTTCATAACTGTTATACTTAACAGTATGAGTTAAGTAATGACAGCTGTTAAGAATACAAAAACTTTCTGTTTAACCCAATATAACCTTTACTTATTAGCCATGGCATCTGAGAAGTGTGTGGAAGCAACATAATAAGTGAAAGGATGTAATATCAACAATTGAGATGAAAAAGGAACTTATTTGTGGTATATGTGGCAAATCTGGTGGCCATGTTTAAGGTGCCAAAGTCAATGGTGTGCAACCAGTAAATGCAATTTTCATTTTATTATACAGTATTTATGTATTTCATTTATTGTTTTCATGTTTTATTATTGGGGCATTTAATTGTGCTACTTTTACCTTAATTTATGTGTATTTGCTGTTTTTAAGTTTATTGAAATGGGTATTGTTTAGATAGAATAGAAAAAATTTATTCAGGGTTTGAGTGGTCTCTTGGAATGAATTAAATTTGGAATATCAGGCACCACTGCAAATTCTTGCCAGTTATTGTGATCAGTCTACTACTTATTGTTACCAGGTTAAACTAGGGCATTTATGATATTTATAACATAAATTATCATTAGTTAAAGATAATTTTTCAAAAATATTAGTTATTACTTTTCTGGCAGTATTATCTTTGCTAATTTTTTAAATATTGTACTGATTATAGATTTATAAAAAGTGTTCTATGACAGTTAGTATATCATTAGTTGAGAACTGCTGTTCTATGATTGTTACTCCTAAATAAGATATTTTTAGAACATTGAAAACTAAATAAAAAAACATTGGAGCTATCATTGTAATACTGTATCTATTTGTATTGATTAAATAATACCATAAATTTATTTCCTTTAGTTTTATGTAGCTTTATATTTATAGCTTAATGTATTATTCAATTGATACTGTAAGACAAGAGTGTTTTTGTTATTTTGATCTGATCAACTTTCATTATATTATAACTAGCTGTGATCTACTGTTAGACAAAAATGGTGTGTAACAATGCATGAAGCATCCCCCTAGGCTTCCGTACCACTTGACCGAAGGGTCACCATCGCTTTGGTGATGTCCACATCAGGACAGAAGACACCACACATCAAGTAGGGCTGTTGTTGTGAGGTCACATGAGCGGTCACATGCAAAGGTGATTGGATTTGGGAGGTGGTGAGTCATGTGGAGGTCAGAGAGATGGCATGCTGGAAGTGAATTACTTGGAGGCCAGGTTAACAACTAATAACCATTTATTTGTGAAATAGAATACATAGTAAACATTTTCATTAATGGGTTATAATATAACAAACTAAATTAGGTATACATACTGTCGCCTTTCGCAAGAGAGAGACTCATGTGGAAATAAATATCTATAGTTTGAAGGATCCATTTGTAGATCTGATGCAGGAGAAGTTTTCTTATTGGTATGTCCCTTAGGAAGGTTGAATAAATGAGGAGGTTGGCATGTTAGAAGAGTTCTGGATAATGATCCGGGTCAGAGTCGATTGTATATCTGTTTTGGAGGCACATAGTTAATGGTATCAGTCAAGGAATTAGCAACAACTTTTGTTATAGGGCCAGGTGACAATTTGTCGCATTGGGGAGGAATGGATGATGACTTGTCTATTGACGGATCAGCAATAACTGCCTCCTTGGGCCATCAGTTCCGATATTAAAATGGTAGAGAACAGGCTGGAAGGGTCAAAGGGTCACGGAAAAGCGTCGCTTTTGCTGTTGAGAAAATGTAAATCGAAATGTTCTCAGGTAGTAAAGGACAGCAGTCATCCAAATAGGTATGAAAACATCACGCATTTTTTTCATTGAACTCAAAGGTGTCACTACATAACATAAGTTAATGGTAACATCTGTACCAACTACTATTGCACTATTGTGATCTACTGTTGTATATACAGTATAAGCAAGTATTCATGCATTTTTTCATTTGTGATTAAAACTGAAAGTAATTTAATAGGATTAATTGCTACTGTAGCAATCAATCAAAAATTTTTCAAGACTGTTATGTGGGTTTCAATCAACTGATTGATCACTTGCGCTGTAGTCAACACATGTCCCTGTACATTGGTTGCCATAGAAGATGGCAGCTACAAAATAATTATTATCAAAACTGTTTTGAAGCAATGTGATCACAATAAGCAGTGACCACCATATTTAAAAAATTCCATGTCCCATTCTCAAACCCATGATTATTCTACTAATATTCACCATGATGACAATTGCTATAAATTTGTTAAAATTTTATCAAATACATTCAATTAACTCCTTATTTAATTAGTTTAAATGTAATTAGTTTTTAAACTAACCATAAAAAACAGTATTTTTCAAAATAAAAAAAAAAGAAATAAATCTAATTTTATCTTTGGAATAGCTGACATCTTACAATCAATAATGGAACAATCTGTGGGAAACTAATGTTCTAATTTTAGTGTAATATAGAAAATACATTTGCTATTTTTGATTAATTTATTAATGATTTTAATTTCTTTTAACTGATAAGAGTAATGGTAACTAGTAGAAATCACTCTTATTTTTTTAATGTTCTATGAAATGGGAAATATTTGATAGTGACAAACATCTTGCAGTCATAGCAGATGCAATTTATAAATATACACTTTTTAAATATAAGATTATTATTTACTTAAAATAGAATTTTTTATTTAAACTTATCATTCATCATCAATAAAACTATAGTCTTTCAACAAATAATCATGTAAGTGAAATCTAAATCTGAAATTTCTGTAACATTTATTAAGCAGAAACTTTATATTGTTTGTTAAACACACTTACATTTAAATTACAAATATCTAATTGCAGAAACATTACTTAAATTAATAAGTAATCAATTTAAACTTTAAATCAAAAATTTAATTTTTAAACAGAATTAGTTGTATCTGTCTTCATAACTTAATTATTAGACTGATTATTTAGTAATCAAAAATAGAAAATATAAATAAATGAAAATGAACAAAACCATGTGTTTAACATATAAAAGAAAATTAAAAAACATTTAAAATATTCCAAACTAAAAAAAGGCTAGATTTAATAATTTTTTTGAAATGAAATTTACAGCTAAAAAAATCTGATCTGTACTAAACTTCATTTTCATTGACTTTTATATTGTTTTAAAATAAAGTAGTTCATTCTCTAAATGTATTTTCCTCAAAAATAATAATGAAGAAACTTACTGTTTATTTCCTGAGTATATGCTTTATACTGAGGCTGTGCACTTTCACCAGTAGTAAGAGCATAAAGACGAACATTGCTTCTGAATTTAACTAGTGCATCTACAACATGAGAAAGCATTGCTGTTGTTTCATCTGATGAAGTTATTAGTGCCTATTAGATACACAAATTCCATTAATTTGTAATTAAAAATAAATTAAAGTTTTTCACTTATATAATTTTAAAAATGTAACATTATTTTAATGATGATAAATTTTGTGAAACTTAAAAAAAATTAATTAACATATGAAATATTTTAAGTCTTAATTTATATTTTATGACAAATATTCAATATTCTGATAATGAGTATTTATCATTAAATATAAGAGTAAGTATTATCATCAATCAGAAATTGAGTAATTAATGATTAACACATCAGATATATTACTCTACGTTGGTTGAAGTGTAAGTTTATTGAGTAATTAATAAAAAAAACAATACAGTGATGACTCATATTCAAAATTTAATTCATTCCAGCAAACCATTCAAACTCTAAATTGTTCAAAGTCTGGATCAATTTTTAGAAACAAAAATCCATTCCCAGACTGTAAACAATACCCATTTTGATAAACTTAAAAATAACAAACAAATATTTATTGTGACATCATCACAATGCTGGCTGCAATTTTTAATCATATTTTTAATTTATTTAATTTAAAATATATGCTCTCTACCTTCAAATTAATAGTGTATTTCTTTCCCCTGTACATCATATTTTCTTTTAACAATTGCGTAATTTTGGTAATCTAACACCTTTCACTGAAAGTTTCTGAATTGAAATAATGTGACTTCTGGTTTACATTAGATGTTTGCATATAGTTACAAGGTCTCCTTCCCCTAAGGTTTCTATATCTGGTCTCAGCTTTCATCTATCTAACTCTGTTCTCGAGATTACGGAAGGACATACAAACAGTTAGACAGACAGCAGTGGGAATTTATAGTCTACAATTTTTTCAAATTGCAGCCCAAGAAACACACATAATTTAAGATAAAAGTAACACAATTAAATGCCCTAAATAATAAATTAAAACATAAAAACAATAAATAAAATATGTAAATATTCTATAATAAAATGAAAATTCCATTTATTGATTGAACACTATTGATTTTGGCATCTTAAACATGGCTGTCAGATCTACTACATGTGCTGCTTTCATGCTTCATGATAAGTTCCTTTTTTATCTCAATCATTGATACAACAACATTCCTCTTAGGCTTTGTTGCTTTCAGACTCATCTTATATGCCATGATTAATAAGTAGGGGTTGTATATATAACTAAACACATCAAAAACTAAAGTGAAAAAAAGCACTGAAAACACACAAATGCAATGCAAGAGATGCTTTCACAGTGAGAGCTAGAGACAACTTGGGTGCACAACAGATGGCATTTATGCAGCAAGCATATTTTTTCACTGTGCATGTAGTTCAATCATAGAAGCTCTGTTCAAACTCCAGACTGAATTTGTTTCAAATTTAGCATTTGAACTCTGGAACATTCAAAATATGAGGTACCACTGCATGACACTTTAATCATGCTTAATTTTAATTATATAAAATTATTTACCACAATTCTCTGTGTATAACCTGTGGATTATGTGTTTTAAAGTCAATTTGAAAGTAGGTTCAAGCTATGCATTCTAGCAGTATTTGTAGGTTATCTACCACTGCAGTTTATACATAGGAAATTATGATACTATGAAAAATATAGTATTTATTTTAAAAAATAATATTTTACCTTTTTGCTGGGATATTCAATGCCTAAAATATTAAGTATTCTTGCTACAAAAGATGAACAAGCTGAAATAACACCAGGACTTCTGGATTTGTACATATTTGATTTATTTACTTTAAGCTGTTTATTAACTTCACTCATTAATTCATTTAGGCAAATTAGAGTTTCAGGACAATTGAAATTGTTACGGAAACTCTTTTCCACAGAATTTCTGGTATTTGCTAAACTATAAAATTAAAATATTAAAATTTCTAATTTTATTTTTACTTTATATTATTATTATTATTGTGATTAATACTACTAATAATTAATAATTATTTTAGGCTAGTTTTCATTTCACAACTTATAAAAAAACTCAATAAAAACTTTTATGATTTTGATTACAATTAAATTTGATTTTAAAAAATCATCTATTTCTGAATTTCCAAATGTTAAAAAGATTGAATATTTGAAATTCAAACAAAATGCTTTCAACAAAGTTATATTTTATAGTATGTTTAATTCTGAACTAAGTAATAAGAACTGAAGAGGGAGTTAGTAATAATCTTTTTAAAATGTTCTTTGAATAAGCAAAAAAAATTGAATTCCAAGTAAAAGCTGTTTAGAGATAAGAAAATAACAAAATCTGATAAATATAAAATATAAAAGATACAGATATTACTGACAAAACATGAATTTCTGATGTAAATTTTACATAACAAAAAATGTGTATATAAATTAGCAATATTAAAGAAATTAATCTAATAAATTTGATAAAAAGTTGAAAACAGAACTGTTCATATTGCATTATAAAGAAAGAAACAATGAAAACCAAACTGCAAGAAAAATATGAGTACAGGTATACCTCGCCTTACGTTGGTAGTTGGTTCCAGGAGAGACACTTAAGTCGAATCTACTTGTCAATAGGCTAAACCAGAAATAACCTTTCCCAGTTCTGTATTTTATTTATAAATGCATTTTTAATAATATATGTTTAATAAGAATCTATTTTAGGCTTACAAACAAATAAATTTTAGTTTTTAATATAGTACAGAAAAAAGTAATCTAAATTTATGAATTCATGTACATACAGTATATACTTGTAAATGTACATGTTTACAATTTGGTGATGTTTACAGTACATCGCAGACTCTTTATTTGTGAATGTAGTTTGCTCTAAGACATTATAAAAGATGATGATTTTGTAAGATTAAATAACAAATACAGTTATTAAAGTTATCTTGCAATAGTAGAAAATAAACTAATTTATATTAAATTTACCAATATCAAGTGGCACTGACAATGATGCCAAATGGTAGATATTGGAGCTACTGTGGAAAACACCAATATTGAGCACTTAAAAATAGCTAAATAAGACGACAACACAGAAACACAGAAGTTTTCATGTTTCGTTCTCTAGGATTTATGATGATTTTATTAACATTTACAGTAAATGTACATATTTTAATCTGATTTTATGTGCTTTAATGCTTTTCTAGTGATATTACGACTTCAGTATTTGTGGCGGACGGATGTAAAGTCGAATAAAATGACAATATTAGAAAGTACTCAGCAAACCATAAAACATAACATACAAATAACACCTTATCCTTGCTGAGAAAATATTTATTTCATAAACATGAACGTTTTCAGCCTGATTCATGGGCCATCATCAGGTTGTGAATGAAATTAGAACTAAAGCATTCCAAAATAGAATATAAATTCAAAAAAATAAATAACCAACGGAATAACATAAAATAAAGTAAATTAAAACAAAACAAAAATGAATCATGTGAAAAATATAAAATAAGAATATAAGATTGTTTACTAACAATATCTCTAATAAAATTAAATTACTAATTTAATTAGTTGGAGTTCTTAGTAAATTTTTTAATCATAAACTTCCATGCAGAGGGAAGACTTTCTGCATCCCTCGCATTCAAACATCCTTCATGTGGTTTACTCTTATAAATTTGGATAAAAAGGCCATTTATCCACTAGCGTTTTTATTAAACCATCTCACAGCCCATTATATATACTACCCCATTCCAAGGATCCGTTCAAATATAAAATTGCGGCCTTTTGTGCGCTGATAAGAAGGGCATTTTTGTATTGTGACAGAATCCAGGACAGGATTAAAGAAATAAATAGAATAATGAACATGACCCAGACCCTAGGTTACTGAAAAAGCACAATCTTAGGAATGGTAAATAAATATGAAGCAAACAACAAAAAAAAGGTCATGCAAAAGTGTCCCGACTGGAGTCGTGAAGTTTACCTATAATGAAAATATGAATAATGTTATGAAGAAAGTTACAGACGAGAAAGGCTCCAGAATTCTTATAAAAAGAGCCCCAAATTTATATAAAATCCTCAGAAATGATAAAGATAGCATAAAGTCAGAAGAAAAACCGGGAGTTTATAGAATTCCATATGAAAATAAGCAATTGGATATTAAAAAAGATTATATTGGAGTAACCATGAGAAGTTTAGGAATTAGACTCAAAGAACATAAATATAAGAAAAAGAGTCCAATGCAACAATTCTGTCACAAATGGCACAGATGCAAGACTCTGTAGTCAAATAGAATGATGCAGCCATCATCAAACCTGTATATTCCCCATCTTTGGCAGCGACAGCAGAAAAGATCCAAATTTATAAGAGTAAACTACATGAAGGATGTTTGAATGCGAGGGATGCAGAAAGTCTTTCCTCTCCATGGAAGTTTATGATTAAAAAATTTACTAAGAACTCCAACTAATTAAATTAGTAATTTAATTTTATTAGAGATATTGTTAGTAAACAATCTTATATTCTTATTTTATATTTTTCACATGATTCATTTTTGTTTTGTTTTAATTTACTTTATTTTATGTTATTCCGTTGGTTATTTATTTTTTTGAATTTATATTCTATTTTGGAATGCTTTAGTTCTAATTTCATTCACAACCTGATGATGGCCCATGAATCAGGCTGAAAACGTTCATGTTTATGAAATAAATATTTTCTCAGCAAGGATAAGGTGTTATTTGTATGTTATGTTTTATGGTTTGCTGAGTACTTTCTAATATTGTCATTTTATTCGACTTTACATCCGTCCGCCACAAATACTGAAGTCGTAATATCACTAGAAAAGCATTAAAGCACATAAAATCAGATTAAAATATGTACATTTACTGTAAATGTTAATAAAATCATCATAAATCCTAGAGAACGAAACATGAAAACTTCTGTGTTTCTGTGTTGTCGTCTTATTTAGCTATTTTTAAGTGCTCAATATTGGTGTTTTCCACAGTAGCTCCAATATCTACCATTTGGCATCATTGTCAGTGCCACTTGATATTGGTAAATTTAATATAAATTAGTTTATTTTCTACTATTGCAAGATAACTTTAATAACTGTATTTGTTATTTAATCTTACAAAATCATCATCTTTTATAATGTCTTAGAGCAAACTACATTCACAAATAAAGAGTCTGCGATGTACTGTAAACATCACCAAATTGTAAACATGTACATTTACAAGTATATACTGTATGTACATGAATTCATAAATTTAGATTACTTTTTTCTGTACTATATTAAAAACTAAAATTTATTTGTTTGTAAGCTTAAAATAGATCCTTATTAACCATATATTATTAAAAATGCATTAATAAATAAAATACAGANTGATCTTTAACAAGGCCTTAGATTCTCCTTAATATAGTGGGTGATCAGTAAATGAACATAATCCGTTCCAAGACTTTGTTCTCCATCTGAATTGCTCGTTAACCGATTATCGATTTACCACAGGTTTTTATGGGAATTTGGTTAATTTGTTCTGGAGATCCCAAAAAATAAAAAATATATACTTTCTTACTATGTTTATTTATATGTAATAATAAAAATACATATATACACAGTCTTGCATTTTTATTAGTCATGTTTTTTCTGTTTGTGGGGGTTAAAGAATCTGTCTAACATTGATTGCTTTTCTCTCTTTAGGATTTCTCAGAAGTAATTAATAGCATTGTAATTGTAGAGATCCCCAAGCCTATTAACCTCAACCTGGTTTGGATGCCATTCTAAGACCATCATTCTGACATCCTCCCACTTCTTCAAAAGATCTTTAATAGCAGATGTTGGCACTAATACTCTTTTTCAGAAGAAAACATATCTCGCAGTTTCTTGGTGTTCTTCAGTCATCAGATCCATTTCAGGTTCCATTATGAGCTCTTCAATGCTCTTTATTTCTCAGATGTGATTTTTGTTACTCCTTTAGCTGCTTGAGTCTTCTTGATTATACTATAGACCTGTTCAAGCCATACTACCCAGCAATATCAGACACCTTCTGCCCACTCTCTACCTTTACTATTATATTCTCACCTTTAGAAAATAAAACAGATGCAAAATTTAATGAGTGCCTGCCCGACAGTCTGGCGAATACTAGAAAAGAACTGTTTCTATCAGAAAAATAAAAGATTGGAATTACAAGGGAAAGTTTCAAAGTTCAGAAGAATACTATCTGATCAGTATATACCAGGTTAAGTGTCGATGTTAACGTCTCCTGTGCTCCGAAAATTTCAAATTGTTGCCTGAGACAAGGGAAGACAGAATTATTTTGTCGCTTCTTCTTGTGTTTGTTCTGTGAGGTGTCCGAACATAAAAATCTTTCACGAAAGTGTTCGCTATCTGATTTGTTCATTAACTAATCACCCACTGTATTTTGTTTTTGAATCTCTACAGTTGTAGTTCATCCTGTTTCGTCACTGTCCATGTCTCACATCCATATAGAGCAGGGCTTCTTAAACTATGGGTCGCGACCCCTACAGGGTCGCTTAGCAAAATCTTGGGGTCGCGAGATCTTAATGCAAATTATTGAAAATAACTTGTGAGAGTTTGAAAATGGAACGCTTTGTGTCATAGGTTTCGTGAGTTGTGCTTTGTGTCACTTCTGGTGCAGAGAGACAACAATTCAGCAACACTGATTGTAGTGTGAACTAGTGTAGTGTTGTCGCTTTTCAGTGTATTCAGTTGTCCCTGTTCCATTGTAACACAAGAGTGAACTGAGGTAGTACACCATTATTGTTTTTGTAAATTTGTATATATCTTTATTTTATATTTTTTAGGTCGTGAAAAAAATCACAACCATAAATGGGGTCGTGAATTAAAAAAGTTTAATAAGCCCTGATATAGTGTCACAGATCTTATAAGCATCTTATAGACTGTTAGTTCGGTCTTCCTGCCAAGTGTAAAAAGCAACCATTATTGGAAATAGGGTCATT